ATTAATAGATGATTAAGTTAAGAAATAAGTAGTGTTCAATATTCAATAGTGTTCTAATTCCAAGCTGTGTCATATTCCAATACAGCTCACACAGCAATCGGAATTCAAACACAAGAGGGTCGGAATTAGGAATCAGTAGAGTTTGAAGCGCGGCTGGAATTAGTCTCACAAAATGCCGAATTTAGTCACACACAGTGTCAGAATATATGGATTTGGTAGGTTTGCATTCTAAAGGCTTTTAAATAAATATGGCAACACTTTGTGACGTTTCATTGTTGCTGGCTCGTAGTGCGGTGTTTTGAGAGTGACGTAAAGCAAACAGAACTTGAGTTGCACATATGATGATTTTTTTATAGCCATTCATTTTTTGCTACGTCTTTAATGTGTCGGAATATACCGCGTTTACCCTAGTTATAGTTAGAATTTGGTTGTTAGAATAGAATAGAAGTGTCGGCACTGAAGTAATAGGCCCATGGCCTGTTGCCAATTTTTGTACTTTTTGTGACTTGATTCACAAGGGATCCAGCCTTTGGAACCTGATCTTTCCATAACTGACAATTGATTGAGATAGCTGCTGGACTTATTGCCTGGTTGTAACTTGTAAGGTGCTAGGCATTTCAAGATTGAACATTTGCTCCTGCATAGCTGCATCTAGTCTGTTCTTGAAGGCATTCATACTCAGAGCAACAACGATGCTGTCAGGGAGGCTGTTCCACATATCAGTTACTCAAAGCAGGAAGAAATGTTATTGCATGGATGTGTTACAAAGCAGTTTTTTAGTTTTTAGCCATGGCCCCTGGTGTTGGTTCTTGTTTCAAATTCTAGTAATCTTTCTGGAACCTATAATAAACCTTGAGTATACTTCAATTCAATGAAGTCACCACGCAGACATCGACAATGGAGGCTTGAAAGCTAAATAATTTTTAATCTTTCTTCTTTTTAAGGAATTATCCTTGTTGCATGCCTTTGAACACTCTCAACAAAATTTTTCTCCTTTTCTAGTTTTCTTGACTACACTTTGTTTCCAAACTCTAGGTTTGGATCCACCGTCACCCACAACAGGCTCAACAGCGACAAACAACTGCTTCATTGCTTCTGCATCTATGCACTTGAAAGAGAGTCTGATCAGTCCAAGTCGTTGATTGGCTTTATTAACTTGAGCTTCAATATGCTCAGAAAATTTCAACTCATAGTCAACATTCTCTCCTAAATCTTTTTCCATTGTCAACTTTTACATCATCAATCTGTCATTGCAACTTGCAACCATGTCTTCTCATACTGTAATCTTGCTGTTCATAATTCTTGCCAAGGTGGATTACTTTACATTTGCCAGCGTTAAAATGCAGCTGCCACTTAGTCCTATCAGCCTTCAGCCCAGTCAATCAAATGTCAATGTCAAGACCACCTTGAAGTTGCAACTGTACTTTATGTGACATATTCAGATGATATTCCTCACTGACTCAAGACTGGATACAGTTTGAAATCTAAGCTTAAAAATTTAAAATTGCTCTGAAAATAATTGCAGCATCTAGAGAAACCATGCAGTTTGGAGGTTGATTGCTGGAGACTGTGCAGAGTGGAGACTAGCTCTTGATAATGAGGGCCTCAGTCATCACCAATCATGAAGCATCAGCCATCAGGGCACTGCACAACCATGCCAGGGGCCAGGGCAGGCCTCCAACTCCAAGGCTGAAGGCTCCAATGTCGCTCAGGTTGGGTGATGGTCTCAATCCAATGTGACTTGTTTTTTTAATTGATTTCAAGACTTCGGGTATGATGAGATCACACCTCCCAGTCTGAGCACAACTTGATTTTTCTCTGAGCCTTTCTTTCTCTTGCCAACAGTCGTTCACAGATTAATCTGCCAAGTTACCCAAATAAACATTGCCTTGCTATGAACAGTACATATGGACCTTTTTTTACTCAAATTTCTATGTAATGTGAGAATTTGAATTGATTAATTAAAATAAGTCGCTAATCTATTTCGCACAGATGTCATGATATCGGCTAATGAAAAAGAGCAAGGTAAATGATTATTAATTGCATTTTATTTTACTCATTACAAATTACATCATACCTAAATCATAGTGGCAAAGCTGAGTTTTTTATACTCTTCCTAGTCTTAGCTTTAGCCTAGAGTTAAATTTAGAGTCATCTAAGTAGGCCAGTAAAGTATTGTGGATGTCATCATTATTATAGCCTACATAAGACATTGATTCAAATCTTGTCTCTTGAGTAAATGAGAAAATTAATAACTAGACTGATTCTAAATAGTAATATGTGGTTTGCCAGTTGCCACTATGAATTATTTTTTATTTACCCAGTGAAATGTGAATACCCACATAACTTATGGTATTCACAAAAATTCACATTCTTTTTTTTTCAGAACAGAGTCTCAGAGACATCAATAGAGTATAGACTAGACTTACAACTTGCCAGTTGCCAAATCAGAGAAAATGACGGGTAAATATCTCACGTCGGCTAGGCAGAAATTCAGAATGTTTGTCTAAAGCGCATTTACGGAGCACACGGTGCACGCCTCAAACAATTGTCGGCGACACTTTGGTAAACCGCGGGACTTCATGATGCGTTGATTACATTTATATATTTTAATTTTAGAACTAGTAAAATAGTGAGAACGCAAATTTAATCATTCATTCCTTTCGCACAAAATTCATTTCACATAAAACAACATATGATAATGAACAGAATTTATTCACTTATATTTTTTGAGGGAGGCCTCTCAAAATACAGTTTCCGTGTCAGCGCCAAATAATGACGTAAATTAAACATGCATAGAAGATAAGTATTTGCATTACGAAAAACATTACGAATATTGCCAAACAATATTCAAGGGCAAGAAAAGCATCCACTGAACCATGGAAAAATTACACGAGGCACATTTTGAGACAATATCAATGATGGGAGCATAAGGTCAGGTGTTCATATAGAATAGAAGTGTCGGCGTTAAAGAAATAGGCCCATGGCCTGTTGCCGATTCTTGAACTTTTCGAGACTTGATTCACAAGGGATCCGGCCTTTGGAACCCGATCTTTCCATAGCCATATTGATTTGCAGAATAGATGTCGAGGGTTAATAAGTATGTCTGCTTCCCGTACGGGTAAAAGCTCCACTAAAATATACGGTATTATTGCAGATTAACTACATCCAAAAAAAAGGGTGTTTTTTTTTTGAATTATATGTTTTTTGGGGTGTAGATTACGAATCTGAAATCCATTTTTGGCGGTCGGCATCGGAAAACCGATTTTTTTCCGACCCAAAAATCGCGCTAAAAATGCCTTGAATTGGTTATTGGAAAAACTTGAGCATATTCACAAACTTTTGGTTTACTGACTAGAAAAGTAATATAGGTACCCTTGCACAAACACCGTATTACAAGATGACGACTAAAACTTAAAGCAAAAAAACATATATACTAATAAAACAATACATGGGGTTTCAGCACTGAAGATCAGGTAATGTCAAGCCTTTCGCCGATTCTTAATGTGGACAAAATTTCCAGATAGCAGCAGTTCTCAAACCTGCAACTCAGTGTACCAATTTCGGTGATCTTGCAAACTCTCCGCCACTCCCCCCTAAAGTGGAGGAAAAGATGGGAATTGTCATTGCAAAATATCCGAATGAAACGTTGATACAATGCAATGGTAATGACACACGTTTCTTTCTTACAAACGTGCTTCATTCGATTCCCGCGGAGGATAAACTTTGCCAGCCAAGATCTTATCACTCTTGCTTCGAGTAGCTAATGCTAACAAATTGTACTATCAAAAAGTAGTCAACAGCTCGATCCAAGTAAGAAACAAACATGTTTTACCTTCAAGCATGTTACAGGTAGCTAACACAAACATATTTTCTATTGCAATGCAGCAACACTTGGACCCAGTAAAAACAAAAAAAAGGTTGTACCTTCAAGCACATACAGTAGGTCAGTAGCTACTCCCGGACTTCTTTTTGTAAAATTTGGTAATGAGAGCATGGAAATATGAATGAGCTCATCATTATTATGAACTGTCTAGGCAGCAGAATGACGTTACCATGACAAACTAACGACGAAAACAACTATTTATGCTAACAGGCAAACGATAAAAAAATAGAAAGCTGAGACATTGAATGATTTAAAAACCTCAAGGAATCATGAAACATTGCAGAGCTTATCGTGAAAATGTTAAACGTTGTACACCGTTGCTAAATTGAACGGCAAATTGTAATGAACGATAATGTTTCCAGTATACTATAATTATTGGTGCTTACCATTGACTAGGCACCAAGAATTGAAGATTAAAGTCTCGTAAAACAATCTCTTAGTCATCAGTAACGAAATATAGATGATATTTGTTGGACAATTCATTCAACAGACTAAAATAACGCATACAATTAAGACCTTGTCACTGAAATAAAATAATTTTATATTCTACCGAGAAGCAAAACTCTGTTTAAGAAAGAACAAAACTATTCCATGAAATTAAAACAAAACTGTTTCATGAAATTAAAACAAAACTATTTCATGAAATTAAAACAAAACAAAAAAAATTATATCATAAACGGACTGCGACTAATTGACTGGCAATGGAGTGGAGCTACGAACGCAAACGTGCGGTAAGAATCTAGCACATAAAGATTTGTTTACATTTAAAATGTAAGAGCCAATGGAAGTATGATAGGGAAATGCAACAAATTTATACTCAAGATCATAAAATAAAGCAGAAAAGGCGGATGGGTAAATAGAGAGCGTTCATTTGTCCAAATAATAAGATAATTAATGAACACTGAGTATAGATCGTCAATTCGTGCAGACAAAGGAACTCCACCTTGAACGTGTTTGCTGTTCTAATTAGCTATTATTTTATATAAATGTTCGTGGTCAGAAAAATATATGCTAATTTTGAAGCTTGTTATTAGTAATAAGTATTTTCATTTTGAGATTTAAGCTTCTTCTCTTTTAAAAGCTGCTTCAGAAGCTCTTATGGAACGATTTTGCAAAGCTGAACGCAAGTTATGAGATGATAATTATCTAAATAAAAATTGGTATCTTAACCGAATAACTAAGTTTTTTAGAGATAAAAAAACGCTGCCCAAGTTATTTATACTAAATTACCGGTTACGCCCTCTGCGAGCAACAGGTTCTGACTGCACTTGATCACAATAGTGGAAGGTTGTTGGAAGCAGTCATGTTTGCTTCCATGCATAGGGACGCCAACGCTTGCCCAAAAAATTGTTGCATTTACATTGAAGCTATAAAAGATCAGAGGAAAATAATTTCTTAAATAAATTATTCACGTGAGTTTGACTGGAATGTCGACTAGTATGTAGTTCAGCACTATCTGCCAGACACCGACTGCATAGAAATTGACTTTAATGAAGACTGATGCCGTGAATCCAGGAGGACAAATCAGCAGTGCCCTCGACGGTGAGAGTTATTTGATTGTCCCCGTGGTCGCCATGGGGCGTGGGTTCGGTGCCTGGTGAGGCTTGTGAGGCGCTACCTCCTCTGGGGGCCTCAGACACCTCCTGCCGTGAGTCGTCTGGGTGCGTGTCTGCGAAGGAGAAACCATCTTACTTGCAGCACATCAACATATTGTCTCAGTCGTCACAAAAAATTACTGAAGCTACCTATTTTTAACACGTTTTTCTTAATTAACACGTTTTTCTTAGCTTAGCTTCGCGTTTGTTTGTTTGTGGATTTGTTTGTTGTTAACATTGACAACGAAAATTTGCCCACTTCTGATTGCTCTAGAGATCAGAAATTCTGCATGCAGGCTATTTTCGCCTAACAATTTCAGATACAATCATAAAAACTAGCAATTAGAGACCTAAATTAGCTTAGTTGAGTAAACTATATAAATATGTAGTATATATATAGTATGACATGCGGGCGCTGACGTTATAGACGAGCAGGCGCTGACGCTGCGTATCATCGATACGTACATCAAGTCATACTTAATCAAGTCATTAGATAAAGTAGAATACAAACTATATAATTAGGATTAAAACGGACTAAAAGGAGAAAATAAAATACTTAAAAAAACTTTAAAAAACACGTTTTTCTTGTGGATTAAAAAGCAGAAAATGAATTATGGCTCGCCCCAAAAAACGTAGGTCGGGCTGTACGTTCACCATCAAATTTCCAAAATTCGTGTGTTGTGTGCTTTTCGCTTTAATCATAAATCTGCCCGACACACGTTTTTGGGGCGAGCCATAATTTATTTTCTACTTTTTAATCCACAATAAAAACGTGTTTTTTAAAGTTTTTTAAGTATTTTATTTTCACTTTATAGCAGTTGTGTCTATAGAAGTAGAATATAAAGCTTGTAATTGCATGCTGAAAGGAAAGGGTTAAAGAAACGGAGAAAGAACAAATGTGTCAACCTGGACAATTTAGCATACGCAGAGTTTCTACTAAAAAATTAGAACCTAAAGAGCATGTCCAATTGGGTTGCAGTTACTTGGTGCGGGGAAGTTGACGTTCAAATAAACCTTCTGCAGAGTAAGTTACCTCGAGCAGCGATGTTGATGGTTGACATTATCTAGTGTAGAGGGCTAAAGTTATCTAGTGTAGAGGGTTGACATTATCTAGTGTATAGGGTTGAAGTTATCTAGTGTAGAGGGTTGACATTATCTAGTGTATAGGGTTGAAGTTATCTGGTGTAGAGGGTTGACATTATCTAGTGTATAGGGTTGAAGTTACCTCGTGCAGGGCTGAAGTCAGGCAGTTTGCAGAGGAGCTGAGCAGCGTCTCTGCCGCTGAGGTAGGCGCCGTGCACGGTCGAGTAGAAGCTGGGGTGGCAGTGCTCGCCCGCCAGCAGCAGCGCAGGCTTAATTAATAGCAATAAAACCCACGTAAAAAAACTTAGATACAATTAATTCAAATGTACTTTATTTTTACAATTAGATTGAGTTATAAACAAATTCGACTTATACTGGCGGAGGTCACGACACACGTCTCATCACTTGGCATGGGCCAGTAATATGATTGAACATGTAAACTAGACAGAATTATAGCTAGCAGGTGAAAAATGTTGGCTTTTCATTCTGCAAACACTCTTTTAAAAAAGTAGCCTAAAGAATGAATGTAATCAAATCGCATCGATATTGACTAAACATGAACCCTCATCATACAAGGAATACGAATATATTTCAAGGTACACTTGAAATTAGGTGTAGAATAAAAATTAAGGAAAAGGAGGTGAACCAGATTTAGTGCTCTTTATTATTCCATCCAAAACTATTATATCCACGAATAGTTGTTGATTCAACTATATAATGATTCACGTGAAAAATTTTTGGTGACCCATTTCCTTTCGGGCTTGTTGATTCTAGTTAAACACAACTGAGACTTCTAAAGACCTTAAATTGCCATCCACCATTTAGATCCTATTTCTATCTGTTTATGCATTGCTATGTAAAATATGGTCACGAGCTCGTACTGATTACATTTAATAAATANTTTATTTTCACTTTATAGCAGTTGTGTCTATAGAAGTAGAATATAAAGCTTGTAATTGCATGCTGAAAGGAAAGGGTTAAAGAAACGGAGAAAGAACAAATGTGTCAACCTGGACAATTTAGCATACGCAGAGTTTCTACTAAAAAATTAGAACCTAAAGAGCATGTCCAATTGGGTTGCAGTTACTTGGTGCGGGGAAGTTGACGTTCAAATAAACCTTCTGCAGAGTAAGTTACCTCGAGCAGCGATGTTGATGGTTGACATTATCTAGTGTAGAGGGCTAAAGTTATCTAGTGTAGAGGGTTGACATTATCTAGTGTATAGGGTTGAAGTTATCTGGTGTAGAGGGTTGACATTATCTAGTGTATAGGGTTGAAGTTACCTCGTGCAGGGCTGAAGTCAGGCAGTTTGCAGAGGAGCTGAGCAGCGTCTCTGCCGCTGAGGTAGGCGCCGTGCACGGTCGAGTAGAAGCTGGGGTGGCAGTGCTCGCCCGCCAGCAGCAGCGCAGGCTTAATTAATAGCAATAAAACCCATGTAAAAAAACTTAGATACAATTAATTCAATTGTACTTTATTTTTATAATTAGATTGAGTTACAAACAAATTCGACTTATACTGGTGGAGGTCACGACACACGTCTCATCCCTTGGCATGGGCCAGAAATATGATTGAACATGTAAACTAGACAGAATTATAGCTAGCAGATAAAAAATGTTGGCTTTTCATTCTGCAAACACTCTTTTAAAAAAGTAGCCTAAAGAATGAATGTAATCAAATCGCGTCGATATTGACTAAACATGAAACCTCATCATACAAGGAATACGAATATATTTCAAGGTACACTTTAAATTAGGTGTAGAATAAAAATTAAGGAAAAGGAGGTGAATCAGATTTAGTGCTCTTTATTATTCCATCCAAAACTATTATATCCACGAATAGTTGTTACCTACCATCAGCACCGGTCACAAAACTATATAATGACTGTCTCTTATACACATCTAGATGTGTATAAGAGACAGATATAAAGCTTGTAATTGCATGCTGAAAGGAAAGGGTTAAAGAAACGGAGAAAGAACAAATGTGTCAACCTGGACAATTTAGCATACGCAGAGTTTCTACTAAAAAATTAGAACCTAAAGAGCATGTCCAATTGGGTTGCAGTTACTTGGTGCGGGGAAGTTGACGTTCAAATAAACCTTCTGCAGAGTAAGTTACCTCGAGCAGCGATGTTGATGGTTGACATTATCTAGTGTAGAGGGCTAAAGTTATCTAGTGTAGAGGGTTGACATTATCTAGTGTATAGGGTTGAAGTTATCTAGTGTAGAGGGTTGACATTATCTAGTGTATAGGGTTGAAGTTATCTGGTGTAGAGGGTTGACATTATCTAGTGTATAGGGTTGAAGTTACCTCGTGCAGGGCTGAAGTCAGGCAGTTTGCAGAGGAGCTGAGCAGCGTCTCTGCCGCTGAGGTAGGCGCCGTGCACGGTCGAGTAGAAGCTGGGGTGGCAGTGCTCGCCCGCCAGCAGCAGCGCAGGCTTAATTAATAGCAATAAAACCCACGTAAAAAAACTTAGATACAATTAATTCAATTGTACTTTATTTTTATAATTAGATTGAGTTATAAACAAATTCGACTTATACTGGCGGAGGTCACGACACACGTCTCATCCCTTGGCATGGGCCAGTAATATGATTGAACATGTAAACTAGACAGAATTATAGCTAGCAGGTGAAAAATGTTGGCTTTTCATTCTGCAAACACTCTTTTAAAAAAGTAGCCTAAAGAATGAATGTAATCAAATCGCGTCGATATTGACTAAACATGAACCCTCATCATACAAGGAATACGAATATATTTCAAGGTACACTTGAAATTAGGTGTAGAATAAAAATTAAGGAAAAGGAGGTGAACCAGATTTAGTGCTCTTTATTATTCCATCCAAAACTATTATATCCACGAATAGTTGTTGATTCAACTATATAATGATTCACGTGAAAAATTTTTGGTGACCCATTTCCTTTCAGGCCTGTTGATTCTAGTGAAACACAACTGAGACTTCTAAAGACCTTAAATTGCCATCCACCATTTAGATCCTATTTCTATCTGTTTATGCATTGCTATGTAAAATATGGTCACGAGCTCGTACTGATTACATTTAATAAATAAAAATTAACAAACCCATTAAGAAATATGCAAACAATCCACATAAGCACCGATATAAAACACATCAACCAGACACTAACCGGACCACGCTGCGGTCCGGCCCAGACGGGGGAGGCTAGGGTGACGATGTCGCGCTGGGAGCCGCCCACACCAATGGCCGTGTACGAGCCCCGGGTGTACGTCTGCGACCACCAGCTCGTGCTGATACATAACATAACATACGTGTACGACCATAACATAACATAACATAGTGATGTCGGCGCTAAAGAATAGGCATATGTGGCCTGTCGCCGAATCTTGAACTTTTCGTGCCTTGTTCACAGAAGATCTGAAATTGTGTCATTTGACCGGATCTTTTCATGACTGACGATAGTTTGAAATAGCTACTCGGCTTCCACCGGGTTCGATATGGTGATAGGCATTTCAAGTCTGAACATAAGCAAACACTTTATTGTTTAATGCTACATCAGACACTTTATTGTTTAATGCTACATCAAATACTTTATTGTTTGACGCTACTTCAGACACTTAATTGTTTGATGCTACATCAGAAACTTTATTGTTGAATGCTACATCAAACACTTAATTGTATAATCCACCAATAGATGGATCGTTTCATTGTCATTCACATTCAAGGATACATGGCATAAGTGTTAGTTCTAATTAGCTGTGCTATTCAATAGCAAAAAAAAAAAGTTTTAATAAGCCAAGTTAGAATGCTAAAACGCAAATCTTCATGTAACCGAAATTATTCTTAATCTAACTATGCAGTGAATTTGTTAATCAAATGTTAAGCAGTGAAATCACAGACGTCCTAGTTTAAATGAAAAAGTTATACTCATAAAGAAAAAAAAGAGCTCATGGAGCTTGCAGCTATTGGACAAAGGCCAGTAAAATTTAACAAGCTCGCAACTATAACGTTGATGGAAATAGGTTTAATAAAATATTGCTAAATATTTTTATTCAAAGTGTGCATAGTATAGAGATAAAACTCACCATATGCATCTCTTGGCTCTCGGCACACAAGGATCACCGAGGAATTGTCTGAGAATCTCGGTACATTTCTCCAGGACCGTATCAAACGGTAGTGTTTCCATGTACTTTGCTTCGTCACCAGAGATCCAAGCTAGTAGGAGAGTTTCTGTGACTTTGGTGAATGAATAAATTTTTCGGTACCATCTGTCGGTCATTTCACTAGTCTCATCACACGGCTCCCATAAGAGAATTAACTCCTGCAGCCCAGGACTTAAAAATGGTCTATCATATTCCAAAAAAATCTTGTCAACGGTTCCAAAAGAGAGTTTTGTTAAGGCATTCGAAATAGAGTCTGGAAGAGGTGGCTGAAACAGAGTGGCAGCGGAATTTTTCAAGACACCTAAAGGAAAAGTACATATCACAGTATCGCACAAGAACTCCTTTCCATTTTCGCACGAGATTTTGACTTTAGGATTTGAAGTAGTGCTTGAATCAGTAGCTATTTCTTCATCAGCTCCCAAGTTCGTCAATCTACCACAGTCACCAGGCAAGCTCCATCTTACCACACTAACAGAATGCTCTTTCAATATTTTTTCAGCAGGAATATTTACAGTGAGAGGTTTAAGGATACTTGTGTAGCCAGTAGGAAGACTTATGTTGCCTCCAGGCAGTTCAGTGTAGCTGCCTATCTCCATCAAGTCCAAGTCATTGAGGTTGTTCACGCCGGTTATGCACGTCTCACGGCGCATCAAATAATCGAAAACGAGTCCACGCTCATGTCGTTGCTCTGGAGGCAGGGAGTCAAGGTACAACTGACGCTCGAGTAGCAGATGCTCCCCAACACTCTTCACGCCGTCAGGAGGCAGGTACTGACATAAGAAGTACTCCTCACACCGCTTCAGAAACACGCTGTAAACATCGTACATCTCCTGGAAACAAGAATGGTTTTGAATTAAAGTGTAAAGTTTTATATAATAAAGGAAGCTATTTCGCTCACAATCTTGCAAACAACATATGTTGAAACATAAACAACTGATGGAGAGGCTAGTAATTAGAACCATGAAAGACTTTAATCAAAAAGCAAATGCAACAAATGACTCCAACAAAGGAATTACAGTAAGTTTTAATGAATATTACTGAAGAGATAAAGATTATTACCAGAAAATATTGACAATCGCATAAAATACTTGAATGCACATTTTTTTCCATTCAAAACAAAAGAGAGATCAACAAAACAAACATAAGATCTCAACATAAACAAACATAAGATCAGAAATATAATTTCTAACAGACTAATTCTTCATCTTGAATTTCATGATCCACAACTGGGATGAACTAAACTGTTTCACACAGGGAGTAATGAACTGCCAGCCTTATAGGAGAGCATTGTGATGAAGCTGCCACTGAAGTGTTTCATCAACAAGTAATTTAACACAGAATTTCAATGAATATTAATACATTGGACTTCATGTCACTCACTAAAGTTTGAGAAAAATTGAGTATTTACTAGTTATTTATATACCTTTAATAATAAGAATCACAACAGTATTATTTTGAAGAAAATAAACATTCAAAAAGCTTACTTGCAGAATGGGAAATGGAAGTTTTGATCCATCTTCACAAGCAGCTAGCACAGTGTGTGCCTGGCAATTTTGAACTATAGGAACTAATCCATTTGCAGACGCAAGCTCATAGATTGGATTCCCAAGAACTCCATGGATCCAGCTGGCTCCAAGCTCTAAGTGACAGCCCTCTGAGAAAGTTGAAAAATAATAATAATAAGGAATGATATGAATGATTAAAATCAAGTTATAAAATGATCTAAACTAGCACAAAATAAGCAAATGTTAGAGGTTTATTTCATGTATATAAAATCTTGGAGAAATCCTCATATGGATTCAAATAACTCCTTAACTTGCTAGTGATTATTGCTTTATAAGAAAATTTTAAACAAAATTAAAACAATTAAGTATTGAAGGGAAGTTCTGATTATGCTACAGACATCTATACCCACACAACAGCATGATAGATATTCAACTGAACATTAGTAAATAAAAACTTCTCTGTACACCTGTTGAGTTCAGAATTGGTGGGCAAAAAATAACTTACCAACATCAATGGCAACAACTCTGCCACCAATTCTGTTGCGAGCCTCCAAAATGATAAAATTTGTGATCTGACTTTGTAGCAATGAATTGGCTGCACTCAGACCAGCAACTCCAGCGCCAAGTATAATAACTTGATAATAATTTGCACCATCTTGTTCCATTTTATAAAAAAATATCTTCAATAAACATCAATCATATGTAATTATCTCACTGTCTGTCACATGCAAAAAAAGATTGGCCAACCTTCTTTAAATCAAAATGTTGCAGACCAGATGAAATTGGTTTATGAAATTTATGTGTAAATGCAACTGAAAATTTCACCAGATTAAGAGAGATTTTCATATCCTTGACAATCATAGCCTTATTAGGAGCATCATTGTGATGTTTACTTGGCCACCAATCACCATGGTAGTTAGCCAACCGTTAGTAATGGGGTTAGTAGTGTTATGATGGTATGGAAGCAGCAAGGCACACTAGCAGGTGGAGCTTGCACTGTAAAACACAGCAGAAATCTCGTGAAATCACCAGGCCCTCAGTCCTTGTTGCAACTAGCAAATCGCAAGTCCTAATCACTAAAACAAAAGAACTGGTTAACCAAGGTCACCCACATGGGCTGACATCACACAAGATACAAATGGCAAACGCATGATCAGGCAATAAAATCAATTCCCAATTACCATCTAAAATTGATTGTTTTTACTAGAACATCACAATAAAAACATATTTGCACTGGCACAATAATCCGGGACAATGTAACCATTAATTAGTTACATTGAGAAATCCCGCTTGGGGGTGCACTGGGGTACCATATAAATGGAAAGCACTCCTACGGCTGGCTAAAGTGTCCACCCAGTGGGCCAGCAAGTAACTTCTCTGTGCGCTCCACTAAGGTTGAGGCAGGTTACTCAAATGAATCACCGTTCTCTCAATGCTTGTCAACAGCCCGCCACAAGGAGCAATCCAATTTCACTTGCTGCACTGGAGTCATGGTGAAGGGTGCCCTTGGATTCAGTTTAATTCCCAGGTTTTTCTAGACTCAACTCTTGATGCCCTACAAGTGAACAAAATGCGGGAATTGGCTTTAGTGCAGAACAGGAGAGCAAGCGACAGATATACAAGTATGAAGTATGTAACATAATAAAATATAACACAGTAAATACATTGGCACACATGACACAATTATAAAATGTAATACGAATGGGTGAATATATAAAAGAGTGGGAGCATTAAAACCAGGTTCAGGCAACTGCCACTACTCACCCATAAAGGGGCAAAACCAGGCAGGCAATCAGCAAGCAGCAGGATCAGGCAAGGCACGTAGCAGCATCAAAGCTCAAAGGTCCGGTAAACTTGCATCAAATCCATCAACCATGGCACAGCGGGATAAGCTTAAGGCTGGCACAAATACATGCACTGACTCAAAAGATCTATCTGAGAGTGATTTACATTCATGAGTCTTGAAAGAGAGGACATGGGTGAGTGGAAACTGGAAAGAATGCATGGTGCAGCAAGCTGAATAGTGGTACACAAGCCACACCACTACATTGCTCCCCAGTCCCCACCAAGTGTCTTCCATGAAATGGAAGCACTGAGATGTGAAAAATCCCTCCAGAACTCACTCCTGTGGTCCACCCCTGACACAGACCGACACTGAATGCACACATGCCATAAACCTATATGATGGCCCTCACCCCTGTAAACTTCCAAGTTGGTACATACCATGCTATGGGCCAGAATATTTTGATTCAATAAAAATCCTACTGCAGCACATTATATAATACCAGCAATCGCAATCTTTAATTTTCAAGGTCCAAAATCCCAAATATTACTTTAAATACAGGGGATACCAACACGTCAACCAAAACAAACATCACTCTCAAAGACCCACACAACTTCAATCTACCAGTCTCCTCTTACGCTCAATTGTTGTAGACTGCACATTAGGCAAGGGTGGTGTCAGCCCTGTAAGGGTAAGTGTGGAGGAAGAAGATGCTGGTGAACGCCAGGGCTGGGCTTACGCCTGCAAATTTTTCTTTTAATTGCTTTCAAGACTTTGGGTATGAACAGATCACACCTCCTAGCCTGAGCACAATTGGGTTTCCTTGTACTATATTGCCACTCTAATATTTCAAAGTAGATCTCTAAGGCCTCTCACCAGCCGGTGGATGTTGTATGGAAGGAAGTACAAAATAATTAGACACTGGAAATTTTTCAAAGTTTGTTAACCATGTTGCATCCCAACAGGTACTGTCTAAGGCGACAAATTACTGCAGTTCTTCTTTTTTGAGGGATATCTCCTCCACCAAGAGCTGAGATGAGATTCCAGGGAATCAAAAGATTATCCAGAGCTGAGCGAAAGTGACTAATTGTGTCACTTGTCAAGATGAAGTGACTAATTGTGTCTTCCACATTACACTCAGGGCAGATACTGGAGTTGGTTTGATTGAAATGGGCCAAGTGAGCCCTTACACCAGCACGACCGAGATGCAGACGGGCCACAGCACATTCAACCGAGCAAGGTAGTGGTCCATAATCCACATAAGTTACCATTCCTCCCAAGCTCAGCCTGAAGGTTCCTTTCCCCAAAGACTGCACCTCCCCTGACCACCAAAGTGCCCAATATTCCAAAAATTTTTACTTCAACAAGCAGAGTTGCTCTCCAAAACACAAACTGGATCTTGCAGAACAATCATTTGAGTGTGCAAGATTTGTCATTCTGTCAGCCACCTCATTACCATGGATGTTGCTATGTCCATGAACCCAGCACATCGACACTTTATCGAGCCCCTTGGCCTGCATAAGTTTTTGGATTTGAGTGACAATTGAGCAATAGGAGCCATCCGCTGGAGAAGACAAAAGCTGCAGTGCTGCTTGCAAATCAGTCAGTATCAGAATGGGCTTGTTTTGCAGCAATACATTGGTTGTAGCAAGCTGCATGGCCTTGTATATTGCAAACAGCTCAGCCCCCAGCACAGTGTGCGCTGGATTCAACAGCCANCCGGGGGTTTACCTGGTTTTGGAATAGGCACAACAATCCCATGCTTCCATGCATCAGGAACACATCCAGAGGTCCAGCTGGTGTTCAATAGGGAAAAAAGCTCTTGTTTGCATCGTAGTGTTGCCTTTGAAAAGAAAATGTTCATAATTAAGTCATGGCCAGGAGCAGTGTTCTTAAGCATTTTAAGTGCTTGAGTGAATTCACCAGCTGTGAAAGGAACACAGTCATAGTGTTTTAGCTTGGATATGCGTTTCACCACCTCTGTGATTGCTGCTGCAGGAGGAGGCATACCAGGAATAACTGGTAAAAAGTGGTCAGAAAATAATGTGGCTTTGGAAAGGTCATCATCATGAGCAACCCCAAATAAGGGATAAGAAGTGTAACTTATTGGCCTACCCTGAATACTATGAATTTTTCTCCAGGTCTCCTTGGTGGTAGTGGATGAGGAGACTTTTCCCACATATTGAATCCAGCTCTGACGTTGCTTCTTTAGTTTTAGGTTCCGAGCTACTGCCTCACAACGCTTGTATTCTATGAGGTTTGCAGGGGTGGGACTGTGCCACAATCTTCCTTTCTACTTTACGCCTGCAAAGTGGGTAAGGTGATGCGACAGTCCGGCGCGGGGCCGTTCCCATTTTCAGCAGTCTGGTGCGGTCTGCGGACCCTGTGGCTTACGGCATTTGTAAGAAGTGATGGTATGGGCTTAAATCACTGGTGTAGGAGCTATTGGGCCTAATCCATTTGGAGTATCAGCTTGTGGGCTGAGGCATTGCTTGTTTCAAGCTGGTGAACTGAGATGAGGCAAGTAAGAATGGCTGCATAGGTGTTAGGATGACTATTTCTATTGCATGTAGAGGGTTGGCATTGGCTCTTGAGCTGATTTAAGACGTTCCTGCATAACCCAACTACTAGGCATCATGGACATTTGGTCTAAAGTGTCAAATTTTTGGGCTACGGCAGAGCTCCCGTGCAAAATTACCATACAATGTGCAGTGCCACATATGGTATTTCTCAGAAAAGTGTGCGTGGATGCTTTGTGATGCATTATATTTGTTTAGTCTGGCTTTAAGACGTTGCTAGGTAAGGCCACAAAACATGTTTTCATTTCAGAGTAGGATTTGATGCGATATCAGCAGAAGGTGTAAATTTAAAACAAACAGTAAAAATTTCACCATAATTTGAGTTGGACAGCAAATGCACAAATGTGAAGCTTCAATTTCTTCTAAATAAATGTATTAAAATTAAATTGGTAGAATTATTTTAATCCGTACTGCCAAATAGAGATGCTGGGTGCTCATCTGGAGATCGGTGAGAATAACATAGTTACAGCTAAAAGTTTGCATTGGATTTTTAGCATTTGTTCAGTAGGTGCAATACGTAGACCTCGATTTTTACGTTTGTTAATCTTTTTACAGTGTGCTTCACTGTGCTAATAATCTTCTATAATATTTTTGAAACGTTTCTCCCCGGAGAAACGTTCCGAGTGAAATGATATGCGTTCAGTAAGATACGCAATCTGCTGCTATAAATCGCGCCTAAGCAATATAGTTTATGAAATATGAGATGAATCATATTGGGTGCAATTAGTTACACTTACATCACAAGATCGTTATACATTCATTTATGTGGATTATGATGATTTGGAGGTTTATATACCGACTACCATAAAATGGGCCAGGGTTACTTTGACCGGTATGTTTGCGAAGTGCAAACCGCGATTTTTTAATCAAACAAAAATTTATGACATTTGAGCCGCGAGATTTCATACCTACTGAAATTATATGATATTTGAGCCGCGATATTTCAGACAAAAATAGGACTTTTCCAGACTAGCCCATTGGCAGCCATGACATGATGACAGGGTAACATTGACTGGCTTGGAAATTAAGTTAAAATTACCATAGATACCTATATAACATATTTTATGTTTGATACACCTAGGACTATTAATGTTTTTTCTTTATGTTTCAGACTCTACAGAGTCTTATTACTCTTATATATAAATGGTAATTTTAACTAAATTAACTTAATTTCCAAACCGGTCAATGTTACCCCATCACAGCTGCCATTAGGTGGTCACATTTTGCCCATTGGGGGGCGGCGCCCCCCATTTGCAAACTAGGTATGACACTTTCCTAAAATTTGTCTTTTGCATAGCTATGTAACTAGAAGAGTTCTACTACAATGCACCACAACCTGGAGGCTGGAGTTATTTTACCAAAAAATAAAATTGATTTTACCACCCGGTCAAAGAAACCCCAAGAGCTGGGGTAACAAAGACCATCACTTTTTTTGAAATTAGGCTACATCAAAACTATGAGAGGCAGGAGCCAGCAATTTATGGTGAGTAAAGCTAGAGTAGCCTAGTATAGACCTGTATTTTGCACGTTTCAATTTAAGTTCAACTTATCTAGTAGAAAAATGGCAACAATTTGAAAAAAAGTGGTCAAAGTTACCCCATTTTACGGTACTAAATTTCAATTTATTGTAACTTAGACTTGTTAAGGAGCTCTGCCACCTTCGTTGGACCTGTGGCAATAAAACGGAGATCAACATTTTCTTATCAGTTCGACTATTTCATATATAAATGGACTATTCATAGCTACTCTCCGATTTCATGGCATACGTTACTCACTATGCTGGGACGAACCTTTACCGATTCATCGATGAATATTCTTTATCAATTTGCTCCTGCGTTCTAGGTGAAACGGTAAAAAGCATTAGGTATGTTAAAATTGAACTTAACTGACCAGATGTCCAGATCACATTTCAGGACAGTCTTCCCTGTGAATGAGAGTTTCATTTTCAAAGAAATAATTTAGTAAGTGACTAAAATTTTTTGGGCTTATCATATTTCTTGGGCTTTGTCTGACTTGAACTGATTGACCGGGACCGTCCGCTATTGGCGCTATATAATACTGCAAACTAGTTTTCGTGATCTGTCAATTGTCGTGGATTCAGTTGAACTTAGAATATTGAAAGGAAGAAATTCTTTTTTTTTGGGTCTCATTTCCAAACGAATGATTTCGTAGGAGAAGTGGCTATCGAGAAACACGTGAGTCCATCCAACAGTTTAAAATGACAAGTAATAGCATTTAAACGGAGCTCAACACTTATAATCGCACGTGGCTGAGGAGTGGGGTACGTGCTGGAACAAAGGTCCCCTGGCCGGAATGGATGGGACAGCGCGTCCCAACAGTGCGGTTGCCGCCCTTGCGGTTTGGCTCGTGTGAAGAAATGTGATGGCCAATTAAGGATGCTTGATAAATTGGCTTAGTTCTTCGAGATGATTAATAAGTTATTTTGATAGCACGATTAAGATGCAGCAGTAATTCCTCAAGCTGGTCCAAAAACATCGCTGCAATAAATCGCAGCAAGACCAACATAATATATATAAGAATAGTTGCTCAGGTTGTGCTCATTGAAAATTGCTAGTGGTAAATTTCATATGTCCTATAAATATATGAATTTTAAAAACATTTTAGTATCGATAAATACTTGGTCATACATCATGCTTCTTCGTTTCATTGAGATTTACTACTGGTGCTTGCTGCTAGCGAACATTACCGCTCCTCATGGAGTGATTTAATAAAAAATTACTGAAGTCATTAGGCCAAACTTGTGCTGTCTGGGGAATTCGTAGCCAAAATTATATTATTCCTACTTCACGCGGTCGTAAACGTTGGTGCCAAGTTGAGTTCCGTTTTGTTGCCGCATAAAGCAAAAAAACTGACTACCAAATTTTAAACTGATGTATTTAACCCAGTCAATCGATGGGCAAATTTGTCAAATGTTTCTTCTTAATGGGAATCTGATAGGCGAGTAGGAATAGAGAACAAATTAGTTTCAATACTAGCGAGAAAGAAGTGAAAT